GCTCAGCAACAACTAAAACATCACTGTATTATCAACAGTGTTTTTCTCCAAAGGCCAAAACATAGCATCATACTAGGCACTACAAAGGAAGTAATTCTGTCACAGCTGAAAGCAGGACAAGATAACCCTTCTGGGCTGCCACCAAATCCAGACCTTTTCCACTTGATATGTGCCAAGCCACTGCCGTACTAGGAAGAGGAGTTGTTCTAGACCCTAATTGAAATCCCATTTGGGATTTCCTCCTTCTTGTCTAATCGTGTGCAAGTTTCAGAGAGTCTCTGTTGACTCCATCTTTGCCCAAGAGACACACTGAAAAAAGCTGTCTTCATGGATTCTTTGCTTTAATCTAGATATTAGAACCTGAGCCCTATTTGGAAGAGGACTGGAAAAATCGGAGTATTATGTGGTAAATACTGATTCCCTTTCCTACTGTAGCAGGGATATGGAGCAATCTCCCAGCCTTTCAAATGACATCTGTGAGCCGCAGAACCAAATTCTTCTGGTTTTGTCTGATTTGATGATTTTTTTTCCAAGATGCATTAGCATCAACAAGAGAAATTGCAAGAAAAATGTTGTGCAATGTGTATATAACCACTGAGTAGGCTGTGGTTGAGATTTTTTCCTGGTAAGCAGGAGGGCTGTGCTGCAACTCAACTGCATGTGTATGGTATCTGGCCTGCATTATCCATGGGTTATTGACTACGAGGCAGTAATTGTCAAAGCAAAGACTCATGGTTCATAGGTATTTTTCTCTTGGAGATGACTCAGAGCCAAAAACCTTATGTGGAAATAAACATAAAACCTATTTTAAAACATGCCTCTCTTGGCACTTTCTCTTGGGTAGGCTTAATATTTGCCATTCAGCATGTTGACTTCTCTGAAACCCAGTTCTTAGGCACTTTAATAGTTCCCATGCATTGAACTGAAAGCATGAGTGCTGATTCTGGGCTGGGACCATCACTCAGCAGTTGAGTCCTGCTGTGAATTTTGCTCATAGATGTCACGCCAGTTCACTGAACTTCCTGCAAAAAATGTTCCCTTTGAAAAAAATCATAGAATGGCTTGGATTAGAAGGGATCTGAAAGATCATCTCGTTCCAACCAAAACCCCCTGAATGCTTCACCAGAAACCTCCTGAAGGGACATACCTTTGTAAACAAAACAAAACAAAATAAAAATTAGCCACTCCATTCATCAAATTAATACCTAGGAAAAAAAATATGCCCTAGTTTTCTAAGTAAATATATGAAAAAAAATCTGTTACTTCCTTTGCTAATGGAAGGAAGTTCATATTGCAAGCCCAATGAGTCATCTCACATCTATGCTCTTACGAAAAAAGATAAACCTGCCAAAAGCAGTTTCCAATCTGGAAATAAGTACTTATGTGGGGATATAAATGATATCAGGGAAATCTGTGACAAGGGCATGTGAATCTGTAGTCCATTGTGTTATTTATTTATAATTTTTATTGGGGTCAGTGCCCTAGTTCAAAGCTGCATTGGATAATTTTTGGAGGAGAACTGATCTGTATGGCTCCATGTCAGCATCATCAAGGGATCCAAAGACAACAAAAGCTCCAGTAGAATAAAATTCCCAGTGGAGAGGGTGTGATATTTGATGGGTCACACAGGGAATTCTTTTTACATGAACCAGCAAACATCAAGTATATTTTTCATAAAACATGTAGCTGTATTGTTAGTGAGAACAAGGGAACACCCAGTTACTCTAGCAGTGACTAATAATATTACCACTGCTTAAATGTAAATAGAGTGCAGAAAGCTTTCTAAAGAAAGGGACTTCTTTTTTTAAAAAATAATGCTGTGCTCCAAGTTCATTCAACTCTTTTTCCTTCTTTACTGCTGCAGCACAACCACCATAATTTCCTCTGCTAATGCTTTCATAGCAAGGAAAGGAGAACAGTAAAATAATTAAAATCTCTTTCCATAATGTTGAGACAGATGAAACTGCTGCCCTTCGGTGGGTACTGGATCAGGTCCCTAATCTAGCGGTTCTTCATTTGCACCATCTTCTTTTCCCTGGAGCCTTGTAAGCATTGATTAGTTAATGGTTTTAAAGAGCTTTTTGAATTCTGAAAGATCGTTACTTTCAGGTATTGGAAGACTTAAGCAGGTTTCTGCTCAGCACATATGATTATGCAGTGAACGTGAATCCTTCTCTAACATGGAAGCATGGAAGTATGCAGTTTCCTTTCTTTGTGCGTATCTCTTTGGGTGTGCAAAACCTCAGCTTACTAGAACAAAGTAAACCAGTAAATCAATGCCTATTTACTTCTAAAAATCTTGGGAGACTGATGCTGTCATCTCGACTGGAAGTCGAAGACAGAACTGGAGAGCAGTGATGCTTTCAGGCAATTCTGAACAGCCTGTTAGCTGGTAAAGGAATGGAAATCAGTGGCTGGGCAGCCTTCCCCGCAGAAATGCTCATTTGAAAAAGTTAAGTGCATGCCAGCTGCATAAAGCTGGTTTATTAAATAAAATAATATTTAAAGTAGAAGCACTCATTAGCTTTTCAGTGGGCCCCTGTGGTTGGCAGCTGGCCTGTCTCCCTAGCACAGTGGTTTCTCCAGTCCACAAGTCTCTGCACGTACTGCGAATGGTACATGAGATGCTCAGCCACCATGGGAAGGCAGTGTGCACAGTCGTGCAGCCCAGCACAGGCTGAAAGCTCACTGAGGCACTGCCTGCTGCTTTGTCAGCAGTGCCACCCTAGCAAATTAAGCCTTGAAATTCCTGTTTTCCCTGTTTTCTAAGTGGTCTGCCTGAAGCCAAGGGAATGAGGTTCCCCAAGCTTTCAGCTGTGTTCCTTTCTGGCACATGGCAGGATTTGGCTCTCCAAGTACAAACTTCAGCAATTACATCTTCACATAGTAAAATACTTCCTAACTTGGTTTTGGAACAACAGCATTTTCTTTTGCAATCCACCAATCACCCTCAAAAGGCCCTGTGAATCACTATGTTATTCTCAGCCTATTCTCAGATATTCTCTTATTATAAACAAGCAGAATAGGTAGGAACTGTGCTTGAGCTGGTGAGGGGTCTCAATCTGGATGCACGTGTTCCCCGCTACTGACTCCTGGAGGCTGCAACCTCTCTGTCTCCAGCATTTTTGAGAGTCCAACACTACATGTGATCTAAATAACAAACTGCAGAAGTCAAAGCAAAAGAAAACACTTCATTCCAGCTCTGTAGTTTGTTCCAATCTCAGTTCTTGTTTTTACTGCAGAAGTCTGCATTCGTTGCATATGAAATGGTTCATACCGTTTGAACCTTTTGAGCTTTCAGCCCCTTCCCCAGAAAGCAGCCAAGCACAGCAGAATGAAAAACTACTTGAGGGTGGGCCAAACCACACAGACACCAACCTAGATCTGTTTTCTGAAGGACTGAATGCTTCCGAGCGATTTTGTTTCATGATCAGACGAAGAAAGGATTGATCCCTTGGAAAATTAGTCAAGCCCATCTTTTTGTTCTAGCACTTGTTCCATAACTTTAGGAGGCACTGATCTAGATAGATCTTCCATAACAAACAGAGAGCCAAGCTATTAGATGACTTCATTTTGAAGATCTGACTTTGAAATCAGCTCAGTTGTAAATGATTTTTCATGGTTTCATTGGCTTCTTGGCCTCACAGTTTAAAAGGAGAACGAAAACTGTTTGACCTTTTGTGATGAAAAAAACAGAGAGAGCATACACAGAGCAGTTCTGTCTGTGTCTGAAAATGACAAATGCTTTCCTTTTGTTGTTTTAGAAGCACTATTCACCCTTGTAGACTTTAACTAATCAAAGGTAAGAAAACCTGATGAGAACTTAGATGTAGTAAACACTTAATATTTCATAGTTCCTGCTGCACAGCATGGTCTCTCGCTATTTCATAGTGAAAAAAAAAGAACCAGATTTCCAGTTTTCTTTTCCCAAAGTCAGCACTTTTGACTCAGGTGCAGAAGCAGGGTTAGGAGGAGAGAAGCTAATATGCATCTGAACAGCAGCAAGCTTTTATAGGACTTAGTAAGCTTATTTTATAGCTGAGAAAACAGAGGCTGAGAGTTTACCAGAGTTTCAGAGTATCAGGAATTTCTGATTTCCCCTTCAAGTTGCTGCACGACAGAGTATGAAAACACACTGTGGATTTCAATAGTTTGGGTCACAGCAGTCTGTCATAGAAGAGTGGCCGTTATGTGAAATCACACATATGGAGCTAAGTGTGCTTTACAGAAAGTCGGAAAAGCAGAGCAGGCTGTCACAATTCAACCTGCCCCTTTGCGGGTGGTTACACAGCAGATCTGTGTATATAGAGATACTCTTTACTCAGCAGGCTAGGGCCTCTTTTTGGAATAAGCGATTAGCTGCGCTTCTTGCCAAAGAGCTGTTCTCTGGGAAACTCGCACAGCACTTGTTGCACCCGCTGCACCCTCTGAACTTCATTAGAAATGTATGACAGCGTTATTTTGTTTCTACTGAAAGCAGCATTCAGTCCTCGTGGCCATGTTAATGTGTAAGTTTCGCAATTCAGAATTTGGTAAGCAGGCTTATCTTTATATAGTAGCACACACACAGCCATGATTTTGATCCCCTGTACGAGGATCCCCCTCCCCCGTTGCAGTCCTTTGCTCAGCCTTTCCCAGGAATGCTACTCTTCGGGTCTTTGGGAAAACCTCTTGTGCAAACTCGCCTCTCCTCATTGAATTGTGTGAAACCCTTTTCCGGCACGGTAAACACTTCGTGAAGCAGGGCAGGTCTTAGCCATTCACTGCACCCAAATCTTCCCCGGGAGAGAGACGTAGAAATTAGTCTCCTCCCGGCTGGGCTGCTCGATGGATGAGAGGGGACCCGGGTTACTGGTGGAGGGGCGGTGCTCCCACTCGAGATGTAGGAACCCGGTACAGATCTGGCAGCCGGGGTGTTGACATCCACAAGCGGCGGGAAGGCACTAGGACGCTGAGACGGGCGGGCGGAGCCCCGAAACGGGTGGCGGCCCGCCCCGTGCGGCCGCAGGGAAGGCACGGACAGCAGCGGCGGAGGGCAGCGCCTCCCGGCGGGCGGGGCGAGGGCTATAAATCCACCCCGCGGGCGCAGACGGGTGGCGGTCGGAGCGCGGCGGTTGCAGCGCGCGGAGAGCGGCTCTTGGGGGCAGGTAGGGGCGGATCTATCTATCTATCTATCTATCTATCTATCTATCTATCTATCTATCTATCTATCTATCTATCTATCTATCTGTTTGTCTGCCCGTCTGTCTATCAGTCTTTCTGCCCGTTAGTCCGTCCGTCCATCCATCCATCCCAGTTAACCATCCGTCCAGCCATCCACTTAACTTCCCTCATGAGCCTTGCAGCTAAGCCCATTCGAGGGTCTAGCATTGCATCATCCTCTCCTTTTCTTTCTTCTTTCTTATTTTCTTGGTGTTATTTTTTCTTTCTCTTCTTCTTTCTTTTTTCTCTCTTTCTCTCTCTCTCTCCCCTCTCTTTTTTTTTTTTTTTTTTTTCCCCTCTTTTTCTTTCTTTTTCCTCTTTTTCTACCCCCTTCTTCCAAGCAGGTTTTTCTAGCTGCTGGCGAAGAGAGTGGAGGTGTGGCAGGGGCTGCAGGCTGGCAGCCCAGCCATGCCCCAGCCCTACCAGCGGCGGGGGCAGCTGCTGGATGCTGCTGTCACGGTTGAGGCTCCCGTGGCAGCAGCGGGCTGGGCTGGTAAACAGCTGTGAAACGAAAGCGCATACTTTATTACGGAAGTTGACTACTGGTGCTTGTTGCTCTTGTCTCTGTGCCGTCGCAGCTTCACGTTGTATTTGCAGCAGATGATAGACTTGATTGACATCCAGATTTTCATTGACAGTGGTTTCAGTGGGGTTACCATCTTCATATGTTCTGCTGTGTGCAATTAATTGTAAGCCCTTTCAGGCACTGCTCAGTTTCAGGGCACTTGAGTGTAGTGTTTGTAGCGGAGGCAGTCTGTGTCCTGGATCTGGTGAAAGAGATTTCACTCTGCAGCGAGGATGTTTTGGTTAGTGCTTCCTATTCAGTTATGGTTTATGGTTTCCCTATGAAACACTTGCAATTTTGCAAGTGTTACCGCTGTCTTACCCACTGTTTTATGAAGCCTCTCATGTCCAGTTTTTCATCCCATCCCCAGACTCGCTGGGGATTAGTTTTAGGCTCCAGATAGAGATATTTACCAGCTGTGTTATTTTATTCTTTTTTCCTGACTTGGCTATTTAAATGAGACCTGTGTTTTGAACCTTGAAAGTGCCATAGTAGAGGCATGGAAGAGATCAGTGACAACCTGAAGCTTTCTATCCAGATATTGTGCTAGGTTTCACACTGCTTTGACTTCGTCTGACTTTTTGTCCTTTTTTTTTTTTTTTTTTTTAATTCAAGTGTGTCAAAAATATACAGCTGCTGATAAGCACACCATTTGGTGCAAGCAATGGAAATAGCCTTTAAACAATTTCTTTAAACAAGAAATACTTACACACGTGTAAGCCTGCCTTGCTGTTTTTAGTCTTGGCTGTTACAGGCATAATTTACAGCAATGCTTTGGCCGGCAGCAAAGTTTGTGCAGTTTGAACTTGGCTCTGGGAGCATGTTTTTAAAAACCTTGTGTTTTCTTATCCAAAGTCTAACAGTTTGACATAGAGTGACTGTGTTCTTACCACAAGTACTGGAGTCAACAGAGAGCAGCTAATACTGTACTCTGTCCCATGTACAGCAAGAGCTTAATGACTGTGGATGAAATGTAGAACAGGAGTAGATGCAGCAAAAAAATAAAATCTTCCAAAGTGTTTGTATGATCTCCTGAGTACTAATAAGCACTGGGACATTCAAGAAGAATAATTCATCATCCTCCTGGATTCAGGAGGAACTGGTGTGTCATTGGACATACAGAGGTATCTGGAAATCACTTGTACAGTGAAAACAGTTTTTAATGTAGTGATGAGAGACTTCTTAGGAGGTGTATGGTTTCTGAACCTGATATTTTTCAGCGTAAATGGGACAGATGCAGTGGCATAACACTTTGAGGAACTGCAGGCTGCAGCTTCTGAATGTGAATTCCTTGAGCTGCTGTTAGGTAGACAAGGGATGGGCTGGGCTTCAACTTGAAAACTTTGAACCCAAACATCAACATTAAGTGAACTGAGAGATGAAATAATTCCTTGCAATTGGGCATACTCTGGAATAGCTGGCCTAAAACCAAGCTTGTGGAGGGGGATCCAGGTTTTTCCAAGCTGGGATTTTTTGTTTATTTCTCTTCAGAAAATAGATTTATATACTGGTGCCCTTCATTCATTGGTCACTTCACTCAAAGTGGCAGCAGGATAGAGATGTCAGGCTGTTAGGTGCCCACGGAATTTGACAACAGCACAAGAAATGGTGTGGGTGTCCCTGCTGAGGGAGCACTGCCACATGTGCATGCTGCTGTTTGCAAACCAGCACCTTCACCACCTAAAACCTCCTTAAGTTGTGCTGTTTCTCCCCTGCTCAATGGTGGTTTTTTGTTCTTGCCAAAATAGGAAGAGAGGCTAAAGCCATGACAGATTATTTGAGTAGATCAGAAGAATGCTCAGTGAGAACAGCGGGATTCCCCAGTTTTCTTTGCTCCCAGGGGGAATATTATTCTATATTTTGAGTTTTCCTTTTGACACTATGACAGCTACATAGGGATATCACAGTGCACCTTAAGAATCAGTTTGGAATGGGAGCCTGGTCATTAAAAATATTTCTAAACCAGATGAGTAATTTGTTCTTGCAATTCAGGTGGGATTAACAATGAACTGATGTGAGAAAAACTATTTGACTCAAATTGTTAAACCAAAGTGATGAATTTGTTTGAGTGAAGTACAACATGCATCTTCTCATGGCCAGATTAAGGGATTTTGGCAAACTTTGAACTTTCCACAGCAAACACTGTTCTTTCACTTAACCTTATTAGAGCTGTGTTGCACTAAATGTGCAGTGTAAATGTAATGAGATGTTTCCTGCTTTTATTGCCTCAAAATGGACAGAGTGAAAGAAATGGGTGAAAGAAGAGGGTGAAACTGGCTTGAAGTTCTTTGGAAAGAAGATGACTGGGAACAGTAAAATTCTCAAAAATAATACAAACTCTAATTATAATAGTTCAATAGCATTTACATCATGCATACAGCTGGAAGCTTAGAGCAGCAAAAGCCCTTTTGCTGTCAGGGAAAATACAGCCTGGGAAAGTAGTGGCCTGTATTAGTTAAATCCCAGCAGTATTCAGCAGCAGTGACTTTGTCTTGTTGCTCTGATTTGACCACTGGAAAGGAAAACTGCAGGAAACAGGAGATGATGGCAGGTGCAGCAGCTGCTTGATATGAATAATGATGAAATCATGGAATCATACAATCACCAAGGTTGGAAAAGACCTCTGAGGTCATCCTGTCCAACCGTCTACCTATCACCAATACTTCCCAATAAACCATGTCCCTCAGTTGATTCTTGAGACCAAGCAAGACTTCCAGCTGACAGACTTTGTTTGCTTCTGACTTAGAAATCTCACAGAAGTACAGAGGAGCACACTCTGTCCTATCAGTGATGCTGTTTCTCCAAACAAATGGTATTATATGTAGATATCCCTTCAGCTTCTGCTTTTAGGTGAGCATTGGTAAGTCTAACTATGCAGAAAGGTGCATCCCTGTCACCTTCTTGGTGGAGAAGTTCTAGACTTAGACATGGGGATCTCCAGCAGATCAAGGAAGCAGCAGTTGTCCCTGTGCTATCTGTCAAGAACTGTGTCTAAAAAGTGGTGAATATATGACTTTCTAGTACTGGAAAGTCATGGGAAATATTCAGAAACTGTTTAAAAGGTTTTGAATATGGAATTCCTGTTTTCAGCTTTGGTAATGTGTGTCGCTACTGATTATTAAAAAGCTGGGTTAGGCCTCTTGGAAATCAATGGCTATTGAACTTGTTTCTCTCAAATGGTGATGTTTTTTCCCATCTGTGTCACTTCCAGAGCTCTGGGTAACTTCAGTGGGGCCAGTCAGCGGGAGGTAATCCCTATTGTTAATTCACTTTGACTATGGAGTTGGAATAGCAGTAACAAACCATTCATAGCTTCTCACAGACAGGTGATCATGTATCATTAAAGTGTTATGACATAATTAAACTCAATTCAGAGCATCTGTGGGAATCACAGTACCATTATTCATATTATATCAAAGTACCATTATTTGCCAAGTGATTAAACTCAAAAAGTGCTTAGAGAGTAAAGCCTGCAATTATTCAAGTTTCAGACTCCAATGTGCAAGCTCCTATGTTAGCAATGGGGGAGATGAGTTTAGTTTTACTTTTAGCTAAGAGCCGATGCAGGATCAGGCCTGCTTTGATTCCAAACTGGCATGGGAGTGTTGTCTTTGGATGGCACCCAGCAGTTTGTTGTCAACGGGATGTTCTCCATCCAGCAGAGCTCCACGGTGTGCGTGTGGATGCACAACCGGACAGCTTGTACTGATGAAATTTTCCACAGCTACATCTGTTTGTATGAAGCAGGATGTATGTCAGTTTTACTGCTCTAATTTTGTGTGGCTGATCACGTTTCCTATGTTTCTTTTGGGTTTTGTGCTACTTCCTTTCAGTTAATTGTCACAATTTTAATATATCTTTTTCATCTGTCAGTCAGTTTTTTTTCTCTTTATAGATGGAAGTTGATCCATGCAGATCTTCCTTTTCAAGTCCTGTTTTTAAAATTGGATATTCAATACTTTTCCAAGCCTTTAACTGTCTACTTCCTCTCTGATTTAAGTATAGCATCAAAAGTATAGCTCTTGTTCCTTCTTTCCTACCATGCCTAAGACCAGTCTGTTAGTACTGTATTGGTGATGTAGAACTTAATGGAAAGAGCAAACCTTAGAAGTTAGCGCAGCATGAAAATCTAATTAATTAAAACAAATTTTTTTCCGTGTTCTTTCAAGGTTCTCCTGGTGTTTTCTTGTTGCTGTTGTTTGTTTGGTTTGGCATTTATTTATTTACTGAATCAATTACTTAGTTATTTGTCTCCTGGCCATTTCACCACTCTTATGACTTAATTTCTCTCTAGAAATTCTGATGTTTAGGAAGAAAAAGTAAGTGATAGGGATCTTAACTGTAATACCCCTGAAGAAGATTCTGTCGACCATAATCATA